AGAAGTCAGGGCCACAGTTGAGAGAGCATGCAAGGGGGGGTGTTTATTGAGCATCTACTATAAAAAGCATGCACTTGTAAGATGTGAGCTGGCTAATACCTCTGTAAGGAAAGCCTGGGCAAGGATGCAAGAGGGCAAGAGAAGCAGAGCACAAGGAACCTGAAGGTCAAAACAAGGAGGCTGTCTTGGCAGGTTTTGAGGGCAGAGGATGTCCAGGTCGTGGGTTGAGTATTTGATGGCCTGGTACATTTCTTTTCCCCAGCTCCCACTTGCTCATCCAGGCCACAGAAAGTAGAACATCTCATCCTCTGGGGCCTCAACAAAGCCAAGAATAATTTTCTTACGCAGATTTCTCTTCCTGTGTGCACCTGGGTGGATTCTGAGGGGTCCCCAGGTCCCTAGTGTTAGCACATGTCCTAAGAACTGCCAAGCGCTCCCTAGTGCTCTACACTTGTCTGTCCCAGTCTTGTCCTCCCCACTCAACTTGGATAGCAGAACCAGCATTGAGAACTTTAAAGGGTCCAAGCCCAAGGTAGCTCTGGCCTCATGGTCATGAGTGCTCTGGGACTCACAGCCTCTAGCCTGCCTGACTTCCCCTCCAGGAGTCCCATTTCCTGCTCTCTGCTATTCCAGATGGAAACAAGCCCAGCCCCATCCCAGCCCCATTTCCTCTGTTTAACTACTAAGAGCTACTTGTAGAATGCCTAGCAGAAGAAGGCTGGGCCTCACCATAGCCACAGTCTTCCTCTAGAATAGACCTTAGCCTGGTGGGTGGGCAGAGTCTCTAATGGGCCACACTGCATAGATTCCATATTGAAGGAGTCAAAATGATGGGTTCAAAGGAGAGCACTGGAAAAAGAGGTGCCAAGCCTGACCATGCCCTCAACCTTAGAAGCACAAGAAGATATCTTAAACTGTGGGGTTAGATTCTTTTGGGGGGTTAGATTCTTAATTCAACCATGAGATGATCTTGGATTAGTAAGGTTAACAGTCTGTTTCCCCCATGTAAAGGGAGGAAAACAGGTTGGCGAAATGATTTAGTAGGTAAAGGTGCTTGCTGCCAAACCTGAATTCAGTCTCTGGAGCCCACATTGTGACAGGAGAAAACCCATTCCCACAGGTTGTCCCCCAACCTTCATATGTATGCCATGCACAAGTACACACACACACACTCACTCACTCACATACACATAAATAAATGTAACTTAAATTGTTTTAAAAAGGAAAATAAGATATACCTCACAGGGTCATTAAAGGAGTCAATAAGATAATTGTGTACTCAGTAAGGCTTCTGGCACAGAAGTGTTTTTATGATTATTAATTATTCATCACATCCATTTATTAAATGTTATTGAAAACTATTATGTTCCAGTCACAAGGAATACAAAGGTGACTTCACCACTGGATGGAGGTCACACGGCAACAAGCACATTCCCTATCTGCAAGCTTTGCATTGTACTTTATATGTTTCTTGAACTGAACTGACACTGTTTCTGTCTTCGAGAAATTCAGTCTTGCTGGAATAACAAACACATACACAACTAAAGAACTAATTATAGAGCAGTGTGATTAAAGAATTTTCAAGGAAGGTACGATTTCCTCCCCAACCAACCTAAGAACAAAGTGTAAATATGGCCTTTACTATTGTTCGCCAAGTCCTCATGAAGGCCTCAAACTCCAATACAGTCTGGACTGGGGACGGGGAGTCTTTCCAGACCCTCCCAGCATCCCCCTGCCCCCCTGTTCTTCAGCTACCCTGCCTTTTCTTGTCTGGGACCTCTGTTCTTACTGTTCCTTCCATCTACAATGCTATTCCCCCAGATTGCCACATAGTCTGCTCTCGTGATTCATTTGGGTCACGCTCTTCCCCCTTCATTTGGCTTCCCTTTTTGTTCTTTTTCACAGCACATCTCATTGCCTGACATTGTATCATGTGTGGATTGCTTGTTTCCTGGCTGTTTTCCCCACTGGCATCTAAGCTCTGTGGAGGTAGATCCTGTTTCCTTGCTCCATGCAACACTCTCCAATACATTGCCTATTTCATAGAAAATAGTCTGTAGGGGTGAGCGTGGTGGCACAGGCCTTTAATCCCAGCACTGGGGAGGCAGAGGCAGGCAGATCTCTGTGAGTTCGAGGGCAGCCTGGTCCACATAGCAAGGTCCAGGTCAGCTGGGAGGGACTACAGGGAGGAAAAAGGAAAAAGAAAAAGAAATTGTATACCCTTTCACCTCTTATTTAATCCATTTATAATTCCATGAGTCTGAATTATTAGTCCATTTTACAGATGAGAAAACTGAGGCTCTGTAAAGCTCCCTGGCATGTGTATTCACTAGTTTATTCCCTTATGTTCCCCAAACTTTTTTTTTTTTTTTTTTTTTTTTTGTCTTATTGACACAGGTTCTCCCTGTAGTCCTAGCTGGCCTGGAACTTGCTACGTAGACCAGGCTGGCCTGGAACTCACAGAGGTCTGCCTGCCTCTGCCTCTGTAATGCTGGGATCAAAGGTGTACACCACCACACCCAGCTTCCCAAACAATTTAAGGTGACTCTGGGAGGTTTATGACCTGATTCCGGTCGCACAGCTGGTAGATGTGAGAAACTGAACCAGAGTTGGTGTCTCCCAACTCCATTCCCTGCCCTTTTTGATACTACCATTGTGTGTACCTGGCCCTATGTTGGATGGTGTGGCACACACACAAGGTGCTAATAAGAGAGAGCATGTGGACTGGGTACCCCCAGCCATTGTACCAGGAATGTGTCCTGAATCTAGAGACTTCAGCAGGACCAAGAGGTGAAAATCGGACAAGGTATTTGGAAAAGAAAGGCATACTGGAACTGAGGTGCAGATTCCAGCCCAGGCAGGCCTAGTGACTGCCTGGCAGCCTTCTGGCTCTTGGGATTGTCTCCTGGCTGCTAGGCTGGACTTGTCTCCACCTGCCCCCTGCACTCCCATGCACCTTCTAGCCCCAATCAGCCTCTTGCCCCGGTCAGCGGAAGGCTCCTAAGAGCCCTGTGGTCTTCGGATTGAGCCTCCAGCCGCCCTCTAGCAGCCCCCCCCCTCTCCGGGTCAGGAAGTGCCGAAAGAGGAAGAGAGTCGCCGGGCAGGATGAGCGCATTGGGGGCCGGCCACAGGGCCAGGGGAGGCTGCGATGTGGCCGCAGCTCTGGGCCCCGCGAAGGCGCTGGGGACGAAAGAAGCGGAGCTGCCAGGGGCACTGAGGCAGATGTGGCGCTCCCGCTCCTGGGACGTGCCACAGATCCCAGCTGAGGCTCCCCAGACACAGTAGGTACAAGGGCAACGTGGGAGTGGGCACAGGGACTTCCGTCCCTCCAAGAACTTTTTACCTGGGGTGGAAAAGTGGCAGAAGTGGAGCCACTCGCCCATTTTGCAGCAGTTCCCATAGAGGCACAGGTAGAGAGGTTGGGGGCTGTCCTGGTGTGTGCACTGTTGGGGGCATTGTGGTGGAGGGCTGTACTCCAGGAGGGTAGGAGTTGAGAGAGAGCAGTTGGGAGTTCTGGGGAGAGGAACCCTCCCAAGAGTGTGGTAAATGGTGTGATGCTGGAAGTTTCTGGAGCCATTGCAAGGCCTATGTAAACTCAGTGGGGTCTTCAGTGGCCTGCCAGCTCTTTCTGTGGACCATGGCGAAATAGCTGCTCAGAAACTTCCCCAAAGCCAGGGTCAGGCCATTTGAGGATTCCTCTGCCCTCTTCCTATCCAACTGGGTCCCTGTTGCTGGCTAGAGGGCTAAGACCCCCAGCTCTCCAGTGCCACTGGAAACAAAGTGTGTAAGACAGGGTGCTGGGCCTCTGGGTGTCAGCTATTGCTTAAAATCACAGGCTTATTCACAGGTCACAGCCCCCAAGCTTTGGCTATTTGTGGCTTGCTCAGCCTGGAAAACAGGCTGCCAGAGCCCCAGAGGAGAGGGTGAAAGTGAAGGCTGCACAGGATGTGGCTTTGTAGACTGCAACAGCAGCATCAGGGTGGCAGAGTTTGGGGAGGAGGAGAACCAAGGTCTCTGGCTTCCAAGCCTCCCTATGGCAGGCCTGCACCAGCTACAGAGACCACCTCAGCTGTGGATCCCCAAACACGTGTGATGTTGTGTCCCCACAGGTGATTTCTGGTTCCAATTGGTCTCATTTCTGGAGAACAACCTCAGACACCTTTGGGGGAGTGTTTGTGTCTATATATGAGAAATACTTGTGGGTGTATGTGTGAGAGAGAGACAGAGTCCTATAACTATTGACTTGATTGTATGCCAGAGATAGAGACTATGTTCTTTAAGGGTGTGCGTGAATGTATAGGTTGTGACTGTGGTCCTATTATGTGTATTTGAGAATGTAAAAAGTGCGCAGGTGATTCCTGAACCCAAGAGGGATCACTGGACAAAGTGCTGGGAAAATTCCATATGTTAAAAGTGGGCGAAGAGTTGGAAGACAGCTGTGGAAGGATGATGGTGTCCCAGGAACATTTAAGTTATTTGTTGGTATGTGTGAAGGTCATCGAATGACTTTTGGTCTCTTGTGAGGACAGCGAGTTTGAGTAATGAGTGAGGATAACTGCATGTGAGGGGCGTGTCTGCCCTGTGCATGGAGAGCATTGTGAGACTTTTTCTCGTGGGTGTGATTCTGGAGCTGCCAAAGGGGATAAGGGAAGAGATTTCATGAGTGGCTGAGTGGGTGCACGAGGAATATATAACTTGTAAATGCGGGAGGGCAGGTGGTGACACCCGCCCTCGCTGGTGTATACTTGTGCTCTCGTAGGTTGTTTGGTGGAGAACTAAGGGGAGGAAACGTCTGGGAACCGAGGGAGCGTCTCAGGCCAGGAAATCTGTCCCATCAAGGCAGACGGGCCTCGGACCTGGGGGCGGGGCCTCTACTGGCCCGCCCCCGAAGCCCCTCCCCCCGGGGGGCCGCCTAGCCGAGGCCGGCAGAGGGCGCCGCTGGCCGGGTGCGGCTGTGTGGCCGAGGGGGCGTGCTCGGCAGCGGGCAGGCAGCGGCCCGGCCAGCTATGCGGGGTCCTGCGGCCGCGGCTGGCGGCACTTCCTGGAGCGGCAGCGGCAGCAGCAGCGGCAGCGGTAGCGGTCGCTTCTCCAGCACCTGGGCGTGGGGCGCGGGGGCGCGCGGCACTGGGCGGACAGAGCGCACGCACGCGCCATGAGCGCGGCGGGCAGTATAGAGCCGGTGTGCTAAGTGAGCCCCGGCCGCCGGCCCGGCATGGGCGTCTCCCGCGGGCCCGCAGCCGGCCGGGGCTAGGGCCGGATGGAGCCGCGGGAGTGCAGCCCCGAGGCCCGGAGCAGCGACTCCGAGTCGGCTTCCGCCTCGTCCAGTGGCTCCGAACACGACGCGGGTCCCGAGCCGGATAAGGCGCCACGGCGCCTCAGCAAGCGGCGCTTCCCGGGGCTTCGACTCTTCGGGCACAGGTAAGCGGGGCGGCTGCGGGATGGACCACCTACCTGCGTGCTGATAGCTAGCCGCCCCCGGGCACCCGGCGGGACCGGCTGGTTGGTGTTAGCATCCCAGTCCCCTGCCCTGCACAGGTATCTCAGGTTGTCTGCGCGCTGGCACCAGCTATGTAGTGCGCTTGTCTTTAGTACCGGGACAAGGTCAGCTCCTAACCCTCCAGCAGGGCCACAGCCCTCTAACTGCTTTGCACCAGCAGGAAGGGCCCCCACGACTGGCCTCCGCTCCTTTTTGACACCGTCTCCCTGAGCCTCCTGGGGGGGGGCACACTACCTTTTGTGCTTCCATGGGACCCATTTGCCGACTACCACTTCTTGGCATCTGCTGATAGGTGGCCACTAGCACACTGCCACGACACGTGGCTGTCCCCAGAGCACTGGTCACTAGTTGAATTACTCAATATATTTTAAACTTCTTAGGACCGAGGGTACCTAGCCTTTTGCTCTAATCTTGCTCTTAATTAGCAGGAAGACCCCCCTACCCCTTTGCTAAACAGTCATCATCTGAAGTGGACTGTAGTCTAGAATGCTGGCGGTTCAAGCTTCATCTCCCTCCAACAGCTCCAAATATCATGATATTGTACCTATAACAGAGCTTTTGACCATGACTCCAGTCAGAAACTGGGGGGGTGTGGGATGTGGAAAGATTGAGTGCCTGTCAGTGCAGCCCTGGTGTAAGGTGCCACCCAGGAGCACCTTACCTGGCTCTCTGATAGTTTTCCCTTGACCTCTGAATTTCTCTGGTGGCTGAAGAGCTTGTAGCCAATCAGCTCAGAACCCCAGAGCTTCCTCGGACTGGACTCTGACCTCTTGGACTCTGCCCAGAGCCTCTCTCTCATTTTTTTGTAGCTACTTAGGCTTCTTTTGCATTTGGCCTTTCCTGAACTTTGCCAGGCCCCTCCCGTTCCGGGGTAGACTTGCCTACCAATAACCTGTGTGGTTTTATGCCTGTTGTGTGGGTGGCCTGCCTGTGGTACAGATCTGTGCCCTCTGCCTGTCCTACTCTATACCCTAGCCAGGGCCCTGCTCTTTGCACCTGCAGTGTGTTACTGAGCACACACCACACTCAGAGATCTGGATCCTTCCACTGGCAGATGGAGCTCCGTGGGCTCTTGAGAAGCCACTCAGGCTTCAATGTCATATAAGACAAGGCAGGCAGTAAAAGCTTCCAATACTTGTGTTTTGTTACCCATGGCCTTGCAAGATGGAGCAGTTTACACCCAGCTCTGCAGGATGTAGCCTACAGGGTTCAGACTCTGGAGACGGAGGGAGGGGCTCCCCTGTAGGCTTCCTGTTGCTGCCCATGGGGCACTAAGTATTGGGTGATTCTGACCTGTGACAGTATGGCTTTTGAAGGGCACAGGTTTATGTATGCAGGGATGAGGCTCAGGCACATTCAGGATGAACAAGAGGCAAGAGAAGTGACAGATACCTTTATATAATTCTCTAAAATAAGCTGCATAGGTGCTATTCATTTTTTTTTTTTTATAGATGAAATAGAGTCAGAGAGAGGAGCCATTTGCCCAGAGCCACACAGCAAGTAAGAGGCAGAGACAGGTTTGAACTCGGGTTGGTCTGATTCCAAAGTCTGCATCCCAGGATCCCAGGCCACAGGCACCAGGGGGGCTTTAAATTGAGATCCTTAAGGGTCTTACTGTTGGCATATCTACTTCATCAGCACTTGAGGTGAGCTGGGGCATTTTCCTAGATCTTCCCAGGTCATTCTGATGTACCACAATTGGAGAGGCACAGACTCACATCCCCCTAGGATGCTAAGTGATCAGATAGGATGCCTGATGAGAAGAAAGTCAGTACCTCTGGAAATGGGAAAGCAGTGGTTCCTGCTTGGTGGCACCGTGTTGAGGGCAGCAGCGCCTTTAGAAAAGAAGATATTGGGAGCGCACAGGGAAGCAAAGACTTTCCCCTCGCAGGCACGGAGCTCACACTGCTCAGTGGGGCTGGCCTTCTTTCACTTCATTTGATGGCCAGGTGAATTTGGATTACTGCCCCTGCTATGGGTTCTATCTTCTCTCGTGCTGCCTGTGTAGGACCATCACCCTTTTTGACCACTGGGAACATGCCCCAGCTGAAACCATCCCTCCATCTTTTCCTAGGTGCCACATGCATTTATAGCCCAGCTATTGGTTTCTCCTTGGATGTTTACCAGCTGCATTTTCCCACCTTACTCCTACCCACACCTACACCTCAAATGTTAGTTCTGGAGGACCTCAATATGAATGGGCCGCGGCCAGAAGGCAGAGTGACAGATGACATCTAGATGGGTGATGACTGTTGAAGCTGTGTTGAGAACTCTTGGCTCACCCTAGAGATCCGTGAACCACCAGTATTGTCTGCTGTGAGCTTGGCAGGGTTTTGTGGTGACACTTGGGCCTCACGTTGCCATCCATAGTCAGGTCAGGAAGAACAGTCTCCATGATGTCTTCCTTCAAGTTTACCCCTGCCCCATATAACTGGCATCACTGTGGGAGTCTGGGAAACAGTTTGCCATCTCCGTTTTTTTAGCCCAATGAGACAGCTGAGCTGTGATCTTCCCCAGCTTATGGATTCTTCTGCCCCCAACTGTATCCCACCCCACTTCATGCTAAGAACCATCAACCCCTCCCAGAGGAGAGGGAAGAGGGGGTTACAGTAATCCCAGGACATCTGGTTCTCTCCCATCCTGAGTGGAGCAGGTAGGATCTTTGTATTCAAGTTCTCTGAGCCTAAGGATTGGTCAGTCTCAGTCTGCAGTGGGAGGACAGTTGACCAGGACCAACTCCAGGGCCTACTGAGAAGAGGGCGACTCACCCTCTGGCCCAGTGCCAGCAGCCTGATCCTGGGCAGATCACTCAGCTTGTGGATGAGCTGGTTTTGCACCTCAGGGGCATCAGAAATTACCTGGCACCATACACGTTTAGACAGAAGGAGCTTTGACTGTCCAAGCCCCTGGGAGCCTGAACGTCTGCTCTGCTATTCTTGCCCTTCATTAGTCTGAAAGTCATACATTCC